GCTGTAGCCAGTAGGGCAAATAATACTCTGGCATGCATCAATCAATGCATCTCCAGCAAAACTAGGGAGGTGATTCTTCCACTCTACTCAGCACTGGTGAGACCACAGCTGGAGTACTGCATCCAGTTCTGGGCACTGCACTTCAACATGGACAAGCTTGAGAGAGCCCAAAGAAGAGCCACCCGTATGATCAGAGTCTTAAAAGGCAAGCCATACAAGGAAAGGCTGAAGGACCTGGGACTCTTCAGCCTGAGAAAAAGAAGGCTGAGAGGGGACCTGGTAGCAGCTTACTGCGACACTAGGGGAGTACATCAAGGGCTCGGTGAGCAACTGTTCACCAGGGCACCTGGGGGGAAAACTAGGACTAATGGCCACAAACTCCTGGAAGATCGATTCAGGCTCAACATTAGGAAAAACTTCTTCACAGTCAGGGTGTCCAGACTGTGGAATAAGCTCCCTCCAGAGGTGGTGCAATCGCCTACCCTGGAAATCTTCAAGAGGAGACTAGACAGTCAGGTGACTCCCAGTTATCTTTCCTGCTTGGTGCAGGGGGTTGGACCTGGTGATCTTCCGAGGTCCCTACCAGCCTTACGATCTATGAAATCTGGCCCAAGTCAACACTAACACAGAGTTATTACTAACTAGCCAGCTGCTTAGCTAGCCCAGGGACACAAGCTCGCGGAGGAAGTTTCCTTTGGATGGAGGAGGTTTATGCTCCCTGGCCATCTGTGTTCTGCAATTAACAGGACAGCCATCTCCTGTGATGCCAACTGTAGACCCTTTCTGCGCCAAACTTAGAGCACGGAGCCAATGCAGGTTCCAGCTGCACCACACACATGCTCCCACGGGACAAAAGTCAGCTTTTAAAGGGAAACGTGAAATGAATCCCACTGCCTTCCCCGCAAAGGGGGAGGGACATGTTCACACGGAGCAGAGGAGGAGGAAACTTGTAATGAGTGCAATGATGAACTAGATTTTTATTTCTGGGAAACTGCTGCTGTGACCCCTTCCCCTTGCACATCCACAGCACAAATGCTAAAGCAACACAGCTTTACTGCTCATGTATCTCAGGTGAAAGGGGAAACCACCGAGTCATACCCAGCACAACTCTACACACAGGGGGCTCTTCTTGCTAACACATTAGGCCTGAACACATGATCCGAGCAATTAGTTTCTGTTCAGAAACACTTAGCTTATGAACCTTGCTACTTTATACTTTTCCAATCCACCATGTCACTCTCTGTGTACTGTCACAGCATAGCATTGCTGGAAAGCCACTTCCTCCCTCTCTTTCCAGTGGCCAATTACAGAATGCGTCACCAAGTAATACATGCTTCCAAACTCTGTCATGTTCCAACATATCCTCTGTGCTGCTCAGACAATTCAATTCAACAGGCCTGTAAGCGGAGATGGCGAGAGGAAGCCTACAGTAGGTTTGTGTCACTGAGCAATCAGTCCAGGGGTTCCTGTAGTGCAAAGGATCTTTTTCTCAGGGGGAGAAATAAGCATTTACCTTGAATGCACTCTCTGACTCCATAGACAACAGGTCTCCATCGAATGGAATGAGGTCCAGACTGTACTGCTCTTTGTGGATGAAGGACCCCAGAACACCCTGGTCCTTCAGCCACTGCTCGCACAGCAGGCTCCGACGGGGCACGAACAAGATGTGGAAGTCCCTCTGCGGAGAGCGGCCTCGGTCTTCACTGGGAAAAAAAAGTCACTGTGGCAAGTTACAGGAACAAGCACAGCAACCCAGTAAACACGGGCTGCGGTAGCTCAGATCAGGAGTACGGAGCACAGCACCTGAGCAAAGGGGCACTGACTTCTAGGGGAGCAAACATCATCTACGATTTAGAGCTCCTGCTCACAGGCTTTTGCTACATAATGTTTTACAGCACTTACCACCTGCAAAAAGGTAATGGTCTACGGGGTAAACAGCAGATTTGTGTGATCTCACACCGCCCAGAGACAATGGTTCGAATCTTGGCCTCTCAGCACTTTACAATGGACAAGCCTTTCCAACTAACCTACTGGATGAGGGACAGAGGTTTCCCTTCAAACCTTTTGCCAGCCTGCCCTGTCCTCACCCTCAAAGGAGCTGCATTTCTGTGCTACAGGATGCATGCCCTGACTCTGATCCTTACTATGGCTGTTCTACACAATTTATTACCAAAACAGCTGAAATGCACCTAACTCAGGTTGTTTGGAACTGAAGCTTGGTGTAAACCAAAAGGGGTGGAAAGTGGAACAGATTAACTCCTTGAAGCCTTCAGAAATGGCTACAGTCTTTCAGCCAGAACAGGCTTTACCTGAGTATATTTTCAGTAATTATATCCATGAGCTCTAGCTTGGGCCTGACAAAGAAAATAATGTTCTTGACATCAGCTGCGGGCAGGCGGCCTGGCTTGAGGGTGAACATCTTCTCCACCTCATGTTCCTGTGAGGAAACAAACCACTGACCAGTCAGCGCCACCTCTATCACACCGAAAGTTTCCACGGAGACCGTCGCAGCGAACATTTCCCAGGCATCCCTCCTGCACCTAAAGAGGACGTGGATCTCATCCTCTCCTTCCCGAGGCTGACTGGGAAAGGGGCTAGTTTCATGTGTCATCGCTCTCCTTGCAAAACCAGGCTGCAGCTGCCCGCTAGCTCTAGGGCAGGGCGGGTCAATCAGCAGCAGGGCAGGGAGGGGGTCATTTAAAAAAAAGGCACTGCCTGTCGTTGAAGACCGTGCATCTTTCTCTGCTCTCAAAACACCTCCATGCTCTGTTTCCAGGGGTCAGCAGGAGACTGGCAGAGGCGCTGGCCACTGCAAAGCTGCGCAGGTCTGGCAAGGCCGAGCCATTGTCCAGACTGGGGAGTCGAAAGGCAAAAAAGGACAGCAGCTCGAGGCCACTGAGGAGTGACGCTCACGGTAGCTTTGGGGCACGCGCGCACACGCACACATGCTTTTCACGTGCAGGATGCGAGCGGCCCTGGCGTTTACCTTGAGCAGCGAGTACTGGGCGATGAGGCCGAAGGGCCCGGTGAGATACTCGTCCCACACGATGGCCTGGGGAGAGACGAGAGGAGAGGAGAGGAGAACGGAGCTGCGTCGCGGCGCAGCCCGTGTGAAAGGCAAGGCAGCAAGGAGGCGCCGCCCATGAGGGGAAAGGAGAGGAGGCCCGGCGCGGCGCTGCGCCCACCTTGGAGCCCGCGCACTTGTCGAGGAACTCGCGCAGCTCGCGCCGCCCGGCCTCCCGCAGCGCCGTCAGGTTGACGCGGCCCGAGCTGAGGTGCGCCGCCATAGCTGCCGCTCACGTGACCCGCCTGCCACAACCGCCGCCGGTCACGTGAGGGCGCCGGGCCACGTGACCCCGCCCTCCCCGCGCATGCGCAACAGCGCTGCGGGCCAGGCTGCTAGCCCACGTGGTTCTCTAGCCGCTCCCCCTTAAATGCCTTAGCCATTAGGGCGGGTCCGGCCCCTGGGACAGGCAACGGAGCAGCGTCCTTTGGCTTCCTTGGCGTCCCTCGGAGTGCTGCTGCCCGTTCACATGGGAGCTGGACACCAACCAGCTCTGAAGTTGGGCAGCCCTCCAAGCACTAACTTCTGAGCCGGTTGGCTTTAGGCAGGTGTCCTGTCTTCACACAGGTGGCTGGTGTAAAATTTATTGCGCCATGCACCAGGCGACTGCGTGATGTATGTAATGGGTGGCAGGAGCCTGAGCTGCCAGTCGCCCTACCCAGGGGTGGGGGGGGAGAAAGGAGGCATAGGACACAGCAGTGACAATAAACATTTATTCAGGAAGGTACAGGACACGCCATTCTTCCTGTTAATACTGATTCCCTACTTTTGTTCCTGTTCTTACTATAATACATTCGTTGCCCGGGATTTAAAATGACTACAGAAGATTTACTTTATACTCAGGCCAAATACGCAGTTGTTCATTTCGAGAAAAAAAATACATCAAAGGCATATATACAGTTGTAGAAGAGTCAATCCCAGGTCTATGGTACAGGTAGCAAGGAAGATACAGTACAATTTGTTCTTTTTACATACACTAGAAGACATTCAAAAGAAAAGATTTAAACCAAGCTGAATCAGTGGTTTAAAGCCACTTTGTTCCACACTTGCTCGTGTTTGAATCACACCTTACTAGCAGTAGTCCCCCCCCCCCAAGACAAAACTTTAGCTATCCATGTAGTGAGGTACCCAGAGCGTATCACTATTCCATCACGTTAGATTTCTTCACCCCTTGTTTTTGGTTATAACAAAATCCACAACTGGTAATTTTCCATGATACATTCATCTGAAAATAAAACAAAAAAACTGAAATAACCTGTTTTTGAGATGGACTTGACTGAAAACCTGCTATAGAAGGCAAATTTGCAGGAGAGATTCTCACAAAAAAAGTATCTCCCAATACTGAGGTGGTTTGGTTAACTTGTTGACTTCCAAGTAAAGCAATGAAGTCATGCTGTAATGTTTGTCCCATAAACAGGTCGCATGAAGAATTGAATAAAATTTAAAAATGTGAAAGACACTTTTTTCCAAAATATAAATTTTAATATATATTTATGTATATACACACACACACACACACACACACACACACACACACACACACACACACACACACTGTATAGAGCAGAAATAATGCAAAAAAGGGATGTCTCTCACACTGCAGTAAGTGTGCACAGCATAGTTTTCTAATAAATCCCCACAGTAGCTTATGTTTTCTTACCTGTCTCATGATTTTAAGTCTCACACTGTAACCAAACTGAAATCAAGGCACTACTGATAGGTAGTGCAGAGCTCGTGTTCTTTGATCACGAGCACAGTAAAATAGTTAATGAGCAGATGAAAAATAAAGATGAAACATTTCTCAACTCATTCCAGTGTCAAAAGCTTAAAAATCTAAATGTACAAATGCAGCCTTAAAATGTTTTAGTGCAAATATCAAAATTAACAGCATAATTTTAAGGTATTTAAATAAGCTTTACCATACTATAGTGCTTTGCTCCTATACCTTTTTCCCCATAGGATAATGTAACAGTGTAGGGGACGTTTCTTTTTAAAGATGGGACAAAACCAAAAGTTGGGAAATAAATGGCAAAAAGTCATCTATTAAATTATGTATATTTCACTTTAGTTTATTATGGGGGATAATAGAGTATTTTGTTAGCAGAGGATCAAAATATCTATAGGTTTGCTGATTCCAGAGTAGGTGGGAGTCAAGAGCCATTGTCCCTTTTCCTGATGCCTGCGCATACAAATGCTGGTGGTGTAAAGTGTCCAATTAGTGCATACAAACGAGGTTTGCTTTCCTGGCCTTGCATTGGGTTAGAAGGTCTCATCATCATTGCAATTGGTTGTCCAGTGCCCAAACATCTCGCAGATGTCACAATAGGGGCGCTCTTCTTTTCTGCTCCCATGATAAGTTGAATGGGGAGGCTCATCTGACATCTGCGCCTGAGTTGGACAGTCTTCTGTGTCATGGAGATCAAAGCAGTCACAAATGTCACAGAAGAGGCGAGGTTTCTTCTTCGACAGGCTTTCTTCCTCACTGTAAGATCAATATTAGCACAAGTTAGGTTGGATATTCTCTTAATATAGGAGGGGTGAGGGAAAAGACCCAAAGGACATCATTACTTGTTTTGTGCCGCTTAAAAATAACAGGGTATCCTATGGACTGCAAGCAGCAGAAAGAATCAGTGCCTTTCAGAAAAAGATTCTGGAATTGCTGTTCCCCATTCAGTGATAACAATTTACCTTAGTCATTGAATTAATTGTTGCAGTTTTCATACACACAAATATAAACCCACCATTTCAAAGCCACTCATGTAAATCGGTGGAAAAAGACAGAGGGCATGTTATCCTGGTTTGGAGGGGGCCAGGCCCACATTTGGGTGCAATAGCAAATGAAGGTGTACTAATATTTCCCCTCAGCCTCTGTCTAGCCACCCAGGTCATGTAAGGAAGCTATGCTCGCACTGCATGCAACAAGGCTCCTCTGTTAACAGACAGGCTCAAAGCACCAACTGCTAGTGCCACCAGCAAAGCTCAACCCAAATCAATTTTCCACATAATATTTATACCTGTCATAATTATTTATCTCCTCCTCGTTGCCATTGAGAGCTGCTTCAGACATTGTTTCCACCTTCAGCTTCAATTCTTCATTTTTCCTTTGAAGATCCACTATCACTGAATTCAGGAAATCAATCTGGGGTGTTTAGAATAAAACACAGTCAGATTTAGGATTGCACAGTACAGCAAACATTAGTGAAAAGAGACTGCAACATATCAACATGCAGCACAAACATGGCATCTGAAAGCCATAGAAGAGTTGCATTTGCTTTTCCCCTTTAAACAACCACAATGGCACAAGGCAAGGGCACAAGGTTGGGCATCAAGAGGCAAAGCTTACAAACTGACAGCTCAAGCATGCTCCTTGAGCTGTTACTAGTGTAAATTCTGACTGGGGACTCCACAGTTTCCACCCAACAGTTTGAAACGAGTTGGAGGACAAGTGCCTGTAGCACAGATCATCTTCCATGCCAGCTGTTGTTGCAAGCTGTTTCAGCTGTTCAGTTTCTACAGGAAATGGGGAGGAGCATGAGGGAAGCCTAAACTGCCAATGTCCATGTTGTACCTATTCTACCATATGGACAGAACATCAATTTCCAGACCATCAGATTTTCTGGAAATCTGAGAAGCCTGAAGTAAAGAAATAAATTCACTATTGATAACCCAGGGAACAATAACAAGTGGACCAGAACATGTCGTTCTGTTCCGTCCTGATACAACCCCATTCGCAGAAAAGTGAGGACTACCAAGACTGCAAGCAAACTGAAATGTTCATGCTATTTGTCTCTCTAATGGTTCACCAGGCCCTCCTTTAACCCTCCATTAAATGGGGCAGTACCTACTAACTATGTAACAGGCTGACAGATTAAACCTGTATCTGTTTAGTATCCATCTATGCCCAGATCAATAAAGAGCAGAGGTAAACTGCTCAGCTATTGTTATATAAGCATTATTTAAATGCATTTGTGGAGAAACATTAATATTCTACCGAAATACACACACTTCTCTATGATTTCTATAACAAGGTGCATCATTCTTATCCAGCTCTCATGCCTCCTCTGGCCCTGCCCTCATCAGTTGGTGTACCATGGAGAATCACAAGTGAAAGGAGTCATTCCCAGAACCCTCCCCTCCAGAGAGCAGGAGAATGGCACAGAGCATGCACGCTCTCTGAACAGTCTTCCAAACCGAGTCTGAGTTCTCAGACTGGACTGCAGACATTTGATTGTGCTGTGCAGAAACACCGTGTAAAGTCTTCCCCACAGCTGAAAAGAAAGTAACCAGAGTAATACCCAGCAAATTAAACACAGCTAATAAAAAAGCAGAGAAAGCAGAAACAAACCATATGCTGATTGGAAGAAAGTGTTGCCAGCAGCAGATGAAAGCAAGGGACATGAGGAGGGGAAAAAAAACAACAGAAAGAAACCAGTGATTAGCATGTTAATAATACTGTTACTTATCTAAACACGTGCTATATTACCAGGAAACAGACCTTCAACTAAATACACTGGATTTTAATAAACACAACACTCTAGTTAGATAACTCACTTCTTTAAACAGGGTGAAATTTATTCATTGTTGTGGGCACTTTTGTTATAACCTTTTCTCCAAGGCATTTGTCCTCATGGGTGGTAATGCAGATTGTACATTAACAAAAATAGTTTGATTGCTTGTTTAAGTACAGTTATGCCTCTTTGTATAATTTGTTGCCTAAGCCTTTTACTGACCACATACCATTTATATCTGAGTAACTGCCACCCATCCATCATTCCGAGTGAAATGCTGCAGGTTGATTAACAAGCAGCTAAGATGAATGCTTTCAAAAGTAGGCATCCAAGGTAGACACCTAGACACAAGTGGCTAGATTTTCTGAGATAGCAAACACCACAATTCTTCTCAGGTCAGAGGCTGATCATTAGAACTGACAAACCAATCTTCATTCCTGCTTCTCAGGGAGATTGGGGAGAAGAGGTCAAAAAAATATCAATCTGTTATAACCCTGTTTAGATAGCCATCAGCTTTGGAAAGGTATTTAACTCAAGCCCAGGCCACTACAAGTATATTAGAGAGTGTATATTCCAGACCAAATACCTGGCTCTCCTTTGCATTTTCTTCTTGGAGTAGATTAGCAGCAGTGTCACCTTTGAAGAGAAAAGGAAGGCATTAAGATTCTGCAGCCTCACCATGCAGCACTGGTTCAACACCAGAAATCATACTATATTTGCTGCACTGTCCCCGGTACTCTCATTTTGAGATATTTCTAACCACTCAACAGGAGACCCCCGAGTTCTTGATGTGAACCTACTTTATATTTCACGCTGGCACCTTACACAGAAGCATTTTCAGGACTGAATATTACTTGCACAGTGATTACTTACTTCAAATTCCCTAAGAGGAAAGTAGTCTGGGAATGGAGGCAGAACATGTAAAGAACTTGGCCTATATAGCATCAGAAATCAGGGAGGTCTTGGCTCCCAATACTGTGCTCAGACCAGGTCTAATTGCTTTTCAGGGAATCCGTGAAGAAGTCTGCAGCAGTCATAACAGAATTCATGAAAATACTCTCTCTCAGAGTGGGGAAAAATTATAGGGGCAGGAGCTTGGGATGCTTGTATTTCAGGCAAAATTCATTTATAATGCAAGTAGGAACAACTGGTGATAACAGCAGACCATGTCAACAGCTTTGTGCTGTAGCATAACTAGGGATGGGTGAAAGAGGCACCTGCCCCAGGTAATAAGCTAGGAGGGGTGCTGAAATCACCCCCTACCACTGCAGTGTCTGCACCCTGGCAGCATTATCATGCCAGGAGCTTCAAAACAGTTCCCAGCTGCAGCTGCTTGCTTTAAAGAGCAACAGAGCCGGGGTGGGAAAAGGATGCAAAGCAGCAGCTCAGCTGGGCCTGTTTAGAAGTTTGTGATGGGTAAAGCTGCTGCTCCCTTCCCACTCAGAACCTCCATTCTTCAACCCCCACACCCTCCATGTGCCCACCCCCGCCTGCAGGGTTTGCCCCATGCACCAGCTTGGTTTGTTACGCCACTGGCTTTGTTCTGGATTTAGTCAGATTTTCTTTATTCAAAAGTCTTGCACACAACTCTAACAGGGTAAAGCTACATCTCTGTAGAAAGGGGTTTCAAACATATTAAGCCCCCTCTTGACATGTGGGTTTGCAGGTTACAGCAATGGTATGGACATCTTTGAGCAGACGAAAGCGGAACACACTGATGCAGTAAGTGAACTGTCTTTGTTTTACCTGAGGAGCTAGTTACAGTTACAGGCTGTTTCTTGTTCTCTTTGAGTTTCTGCTCCAAGTTCTTCACCTTTTCCTCAAGTTTCAACTTATCAGACTCCAGTGACTGAACTACTGACTGCAAGGTTTTTGCAGAGGCATTTTCTCCACGGAGCACTGTGATCTGCAATAATTAGAGAGAGTGTAGGGAATTTGGAGGAAAACCAAATGTAATAAAGGAAAACTGTTTGTAGCAAATGTTAGATTATCAGCTTGTCTTTTTTAGTGGTAAACATACGACTAAAGCATAGAAATCATTAGGCGTAGCACCTATGTTTGATCAGAAGAAAGTAAAGACAGAAACAGCAGCCTACACTTCAAAAACACCACACTCAAAGTAGATATTTATATCCATATTTTAACACCTAAATAAGAAAGTGACCTGATTTTCAGATGTAGCACCAGTAACTTGTAAAAAAACAATGAAAACTATGGATGCTCAGTGCCTCTTATTTGGAATGTATTTAGATATCTAAGCAAAGATGTAGAAGTTCAACTTTAGAAAAAAATGGAAAAACAAGCTATCTTTCACAACTCATTTATAAAACGTTAAGAAAGGCAAAGATCCACGACAGTCTAGAGTAGCATAATTCTAAAAATGATACCTCATTTCTGAGTTTTTCCAGTTCTGCATCTTTCTCTGTGATCAAGGCACTAGTAACACTGATGGATTTTTGTAAAGAAGCTCTTTCTTCATCAATTTCCTTTTTAAATGCAGATTCTCTAAAAGAAAATCAAAGGTTCAGAAATCATCTAAAGAAACTGTTAGGTTAGGGCTGCTTAAATCAACCCAAGAACGTTACATTTTAAATTAAAGTATCAGACTAGTGTTAGAAGTTGTTCTTAAAAACAAGTTTCAGTTCTATATTTGATTGAGAGTTTACGTTTGAAAAAATCATTTTGGATTGTACCACCGTGGAAACGAAACAAAAAGTTTACCTATGTAGACACATGCCAGAATCTGCATATCATCGTATCCATTTGAATTTAAAGAAACAAGTTAATAGATTTGGGAAATATAGAATTAAAACACCATGTTGCACAAGATGATCCACAAAAACCTAACTTCAGAGTTTTGTTACTTCTTGGAATAATTATTAATACGCAACAAAAAGTACATGCAAAGCTTATTATACAGTCATCATGCAAAGCATTGATGATGCTGGAAATATCAGCTGGTCCTCACTAATTTCAGTAACTTCATGAATTCCAGAGAGAGAGACTTTCAGAGGTTACTGGGCCTTGATAACTGTTATCTTAGCAGAAGGTCACTGGGAATCTGTTTTGCTACATGGAAGAACACATGAAAAATAAAACCTGAAGTGGCAAACCACAATGTTTGCAAATGCTTGGGGCCTCAGAAAAGCACTCCTTTTTATTTTCATAAGCAAATTACTATAAAATTATAGTAAAATTTATAGTTATAAACTGGTGAGGGGGGATCAGCAGGCGCTGGGGGAGTCCCTGTTCCCCCGAGCGCCGCAAGGAGTGACCAGGAACAATGGTCACAAGCTGGCGGAGGGAAGGTTTAAGTTGGACATCAGGAGGCGCTACTTCACGGTCAGGGCGGCTAGAGTCTGGAACCAGCTTCCAAGTGAGGTGGTGCAGGCTCCCACCCTGGGGGTTTTTAAGAGGAGGTTGGATGACCACCTTACTGGGGTC